GGAAATTAACAAGGTTATTCTCCACGGTTAGGAAAACCGTTTCTTAATTTCACTGCTTTCCTTCTCCGCTAAGCAGATTCAAATACAAAAAGCTATCTCCACTTGTTTTCTTTCACTGTCTTCTTGATCTTCTTTGCTGCCTCATATTTTCTTATGCAACCGATGAGATTCACGTTCAAATGGCTTCACCAATGGTTCGGTCCTCTTTTTCGTTTCCCAACATACTTTTCAGCCATTGATTTCATGTACCACTACAATTTAGTACCACTTATCATCTAAATTTAAATTGTTTTCTGCAGATTGCATCATGTTGGTAAGATCCACCACATATTCTACTATCTGCAATTTGTCTTTCAAACCTTGTAATTGGGGAAGGCCAAGTTCTAAACCAGCTGGTATATATATTTCAATCACTATGTGTTTTATTTCTTCTTTTTTTTCACCTTGATTTTTTCTTCTCTCAAAACCTTGATTTTAATATAAGCTTTGCTGCGAACCGGCCTGAGGCCCAATGGTTCGTCCCCAAACCTTAGGGTTTGAGTGAGACGGAAGTCAAGGTTTCAAGTTTTGCCACCATCGTGAACTTCACCAACTAGCGGTCTAATGGCCGCGCGCCTCATTTGAAGGGGTAGAATGTTCGTCATTCTAAGAATCCCAGTTGCTAACAACTAACTCATACTAACTTCTTAACTATTACCCTTGTCAATATATATATATATATATAAAAGCTTTGCTAACTTCATCACTAAATCATTTAAGCTTAGTATATAGTATATTTTCTTTCTTTGAATTATAAGCTTTCTCCTCATTCTCCTCCAAAGTGACAGGTTTTAGAGTGCTTTTCTTTTCTAGCTTTTACTTTTATTGTATCTTCCTTGAAAATCTTTGAAGCAACTAAAAAGTATATATCCGAGCAATTTGTGAAGAAGCCTTTTGCTAGATTTATCCTTGTTCAACTCATTCTTAGTCATTTAGAGAAAATTGTAATTATTGTCTTTTTTAAATTAACTATATTTTACAATTGATTTTTGTCTCTTTTTTTAAATCTACATATGACAATATATATTTTTTTCAGTTGGTAGTGTCTACTCCTACTTATTTCAAGGTCAGCGCAGTCATAACAAGCATATTTATTTCTTAATGTATCACATAAATGGATATGTTTGATTTTATGAAGTTCTTGATGCATTTCACTATATAAATAAATCTATATATTATATCTTTGATGCATTTTTTTAGTTGGTAGCATCTACTTAATTATGTTTTCACTCGATAATCAGATTTTTCATTTTTTTTTTCTCATTGTCATGTATAGATCTAAGAGTTTTTAAGTATTTTAACCTAAAATTTTTGTAGATATGCAAGTTATTCCTTAAGTCAACTTTTGTTTCCTTTATTCCTTATCTTTTAATTTGAAAATGAAATGAAATTCATATAAATAAATTCCCTTAAGAATTTAATTAAATTGAATTCTCATATTTATTTAAAAAATTTTAGCCTCTTTGCTGTAAAGTATAAATTAAAGTAGAATTAATTTCATTTCTCTTTTGCAGATTGTATCATTTTTGGTTTCTATTCCATATTCTGCAACCTGCATTCTCAACCTTCTTCAAAAACACTTGAATGATCAGGAAACAATAGTTCCATGCCCAGAAGGTATAAATTGTTTTACTCCCTATATATTTTCTTCACATTCATGTGTGTATATATATATATATATAATAGAGATCAACTCATACATAAATTTTACTAATGTAATCAAATCTTATGAAAAAAAATTAAAAGATTCTATTTATTTTTAAAATAAAATGAAAATATTTAATTTTTTCTCGAAATACTTTATTCAAACGATGTAGTTTTAAATGTTTTTTCGCTTAATTTTTTATAAATTCAAGTGATAAACATTAATATATATATTTTTTTTTCACTTTCAGTTTTCTAAATTAATGCTCTCCCTCTCCTTCAATGGATTAGATCAATCTTCTACTTTTTAACTAATTGTTACATTTGATTTCTATTATTTTACATGTAATGAAAATCTTAGAAGAAGATAAAGAGTATACTGAAGCGTGCAGCCTGTGAAGAAGCCTTTCGCCTAGCCAAACATTTCTTTTCGTGATTTGGTGAAA